GGTGGCCAGTGTCCTGGGACCCGTCTCTCGGCGGATGAGGCCCTGCCGGCCTGTGCAGCCTCCTGCAGGGGGTCCTTGCTGAGCTGCTGTGGGTGGTCCCGTCAGCCAGCCATCAGGTCTGTGGGTGTCAGGAGGGGTGTGCGCTCCGTCTCCAGGGAGACGTTCCAGGGCGGAGCCTGATGCGCCCTCTTCCCTCACCCCCGGCCCTGCCCGAGGCCTCAGGACTCCGGGCCTCGTCCTTCCCGTCCTGCTGGGTCCTCACTCTCTGTACCTGGTTCTTCTGCCACAGTCACCCATGGCTGCCCTGCGGTTCCTGCTGCCTGTGGGCCCGTGAGAGAGACAGGGGGGTGAGGGGGGGGACAGACACACAGATGGACACGGGGTACAGGCAGAGAGCGAGAGGGGGGGGATGGGATTCTAGTGTTGGTTCATCTCCCACCAGCTGTGGGCAAGTGCTTTAAACTCCCAGGGACTCCGCTCTCCCACCGGTAAAATGGGACGAGAACCGAGCTCGTTAGCTGCTGCTGCGTAACAAAACAGCCCAAAACTCAGTGGCTCAGGACAACCCCCGTCAGCTGTTTGCCGTGAGGATAGAAGTCAGCTGAGCATTTCTGTTGATACGGGCCCAGCTCGCTCACGTGTGTGGCCAGCTGGGCAGTGGGCAGGCTCGGCTGACACGGACCTGGAGAGGAAGCAGAAATGCAGACACACACTTCCAAGCCTCTGCTTTCACGAGGTTCACTCTGTCCTGTTGGCCAAAGCCAGGGTGTGGTCGGACCCAGGGCGGCCGGGAGAATGGGTGCCGTGATCCGGTCGCTGCCCCTGATGGTGACAAGGACACGGATTCGTGGGCATTTCTGCCAAGCGCTGGGCTGAGAACACCCGGGTACTGCCTCCTGGCATCTTCACAACAACCCTGCGAGTCCAGCCCTGTTTGTAGACGAAAACCGGGGGCCCAGAGACACAGCCCGGGCGCGCCAGGACCAGCTGTGCCCCCAGGCTGTGCCTGAGTCCCCGGCGGTGGTGCTGCCGTCCCGGGGGGCTGCCCAGCATCTCGTCGAACTCCGGACCCGTCGCACACCCTGCAGCGACTTGCTTCTTCCCTTGTGTGCACTTGGCGCTGCTCGTGGGC